TACCCACAGACAAATGTAACCACCAGACTACAGACACCTCTTTTGACAACAAATGGAGATGATCAGAGACAACTTCAACTGAAAACAATGCAGAGATTAATAGCTCAGGGGAGCCCCATCCCAATGGGCACATCTACATCACAGAGCTTGCATCTGACACTCAGGGCACAATGCAGGAGACACAGCTAAAAGGCTGTAAGAGCCAGAACACCAGCAAGTCTGCTGTAAAACAGGTTTTCATAGAAATGGCTATACAAACAAGATCATCTGAACAATGGTAATACCAACAGACAGGCTAACATGGGAGGGGAAAAATCCCTTGGGGTCACATTCCTGGACAAGGAACTATAGGCAGCTGATGGACTGCTCAGAAAGGTAAAGTTGCTTCTCCAGGGGTTGAGTCCTTTCCTGGGTCTTTAGCAGGAACCCTCATTGCTGATATGAAGGCAAATCTGAAGTCACTGTTAGGCATTTCCTTACAAAATCGATTATACACTTACCATTGAATCAGCAATCATGGTATTGGTATATACCAAAAGGAGCTGAAGATTTATATTCACACAGACCTACACATAACTGCTAACACTTAGAATTAACCAATTTATTCATCAACAGGACAATTTTAAAACTATGATACTTCCACACAAAGGAGTATAATATGAGAAAAGAAATGTATAGCCATACCCAAAACGACTGAACAGAAATAATCTACTTGGTGAAAAAAATTAGCATGAACAATATATTTTTTTCTCATTTTTAAGTAGTATCAAGCAATGGGTTTCAGTACAGCTATTTTATATGTACTTTGTTCTTACTGATCTTCCTCTACAACTCCCTCCCCCTTACCCTATTCCTCCTAATGTTGTGTTTGTTTTTCTGGATCTGGCTATTTTTATTTAATGTGGTAACTGCCAGTCAATCCATTTTTCTACAAATGTCATAAATTAAGTTTTCTTTATAACTGACTAAAATTATATTTATATTTCTACAATATATTCTTATCCATTAGTCTGTTCATAGACACATACATTGGTTCCATTAGCTAATATGAAGAGGTACACAGTCAACACGGATGTACCTGGATCTCTATGGTAGGACAAATGGTCCTTTGAGTATGTACACAGGAGGGGTATAGCTGGGTCACATGACATTTCTCCTTTCAGTAGTTGAGGAAACCTCCATATTGACTTCTGTGATGTCTATAGCAGTTGACACTCACGCCAACTGTGTATAAAGGTCCCTCTGACCACACGCCCTCAGTAGCGTGCATCATTTTGCAGATGACAGCCGTATGGAAAGCAGCGAAATGGATTCTCCAAGCAATTTTACTTTGCATTTCAATGATAGATAAGCACTCCATTCGTGTCAAATTGATCAAAAATATACAGTAGGACAAAGAGACAGCTTGTCCATAAATGAAGCTAGGAAAACTGGACAGATCCAAATGCAGGAGACATTAGATACTTATCTCTAACCCTGCACAAAAATAAATTCAAAGTGGATCAAAGACCTCAATATAGGACCTTGATCCCGGGAATTTCTGTGGGGAAACACTTAAAGATATAGAGGTAGGACAAACTTTCTTCAAGAGGACTCCAATTACATAGCAAATAACCCTAAAGCTTATGTGAAATTTAAAAAAAAAAAATGTACAGCAAAGAAACTATCAGCAGTGTGAACAGACAGCCTATAAGATGAACAAAACTCTCTTCCAGCTATATACTTCAGAGAGGGCTTAAATATAGGTTATATAAATAACTTTAAAACTTTAAAACACAAAATAACATGTCTGCCAATGCATGAGCTAATTAACAAAATAAAAAAGTACTCAAAAGTAGAAACACAGTCAATACAGATTTTTTTTCAGAGTTTCACACATCTTATTACTCTAATATTCAGTGAGAAAAGCTAAATTATGGAGACACAGAATGTAAAAGTAGTGTCCAGGTGTTGTAATCCCAAAAAGAGATGAAGATGCAGAAGACTCCCAGAGCTGTAAATATCTTCTGCTGGACTTATATCCCTATGCACAGGGATCTAGGGACATATTGGTTAGAACCCATAGAATTTATAGTGCCAACAGTGAAGCTTACAGAGCTGTGAGCTTGGGATGATGATGTATTACCACGCACTCCTCAGGCTAGCACACACACCACTGTGCTGTGGGATGTGTACCCCAGATGATGCTACATGTGTGATAGGACAGCAAATACATGGGAAACCTCAGTGTCATTTCCTCCACTTTGTTGCAATCTTAAAACTGATCATAAGGAAGTTTTATAATAGAAGACTCACAAAAATTGCTCCTAGAAAATACTAATTACTTAAATTTCAGAAATTTTTTCTATTAAGAAATGTTATTTTTACATTACTCAAGATTCTTATTCACAAGCTAGATTATATCTCATGATTCATTCTCACAGAAACCACACAGAATTATTTTAAGGAATATATTTTCCAATTTTGTTGAATGTACAACAATGTAAAGAACAATGAGTTTTCCAAGACAAATTTTGCAGTAAACTATGTAATCAGGTTTAGTAATTGCCTAACGCTGTACTGCAATTCTATGCCTCTAATCTGCTGTCTCCCATTTCACTCCATAGCCACCCTACTCCCAAGACTCACAAATCCCCTAGCCACTTTCACTCTGGACACATGGGTTTGTTTCCCTGGTCAAACAAATACATACAGGACACCAAGTATTAATCTCTCACTTTGCAAGCTGGCTGTACTTCATTCTTCCCACACACACCAATCCTCAGACACGTCCTCAGAAAGTATCGGTATTGGTGCCTCTGCTTGCATCTCAAAGCAGAGAGCACCCTGCCCCCTGCCAAGGGCCTCCTGTGCTCAGTTGTCCCTATGGTCTTAGCCTTTCCACCTCTGCCCCCTCCTTCTGTCTTGACTGCTGATGCCCCAACCTGGGACCTCATCTGCTCACTAAATTCATATCCCAAGTCATTTTCCTAACTCCAACTCCTTCCCCTCAAATCTCTCTATAGTACTTCTAGAACAAGCTCTGGACACTTAAATTTAGGCAAGATTCCCCTGGGGTTATAGTTCAGTGTTTCCCTTTGTCTGTAAGTGCAGGCCTTACTCTACTGTAGTCTGGCTTTTCTTTTCTCAATAGTATTTTTACCTATCTAACCCCCAGTAGCCCCTCCCATGCACATGCGTGCACATGCATGCACACACATGTGCACGCACGCGCGCGCACACACACACACACACACACACACAGCTTTTAGCAATGAAACTCTAAATCCAATGCCCAAGGAACTGGTCTTCTCTCTCACTGCCAGTGATCACAGGGCTATTTGCAGGTGTTGGGGACACTTAAGATTTTCTATTACTATCACATAGGTAAGAAATTAACTTTTGTGGTCTCACGATATTGAGACATGGGCTTGTTTGCATGAATATATGAATATATCATATCCAAAGCTACTCTAACTGCTAATCATTTTTTCAGACTCAGATTTAGGTCAATACAATATTTTGTTGCATGTTTTTATAACAAACCGTTGTAATAAAACAGCTGTTGTAATTATGTTTTCTTTATTAAACTTTACTTATCAGGGCAAGAACTGTGGCAGCATTTAGCATCATCACTATCTACCAGTATTTAACTCTTAGTATGTACCTTACAAATGATTATGAATTTACTCATCACTTGCTTATTAGCAACCAAAGACGAGTTAGTGGAGACTGAGGAAAAACAGAGCCATCACGTACTGTGTTATTTACTTTTCTTGCTGCCCCCACATAACCTTACAAGAATTTGCATTGTTTCTCTATTAAGGACACAGGCCACTGTGGCCTGCAAGCACAGTGGGAAGTTCATGTCACAGTGTGACAGCAGGAGCATGATGTTGCTGGCTTACATCGCCATAGACCAAGAATGACAGACAGGGCAGGCAGCAGCCCTGACCTACACTTCCTGTGGCCCACTGTGTTACTTCTGCACTCAGCCCCAGCTCCCAAAGCGCTACAGCCTCCTGCGAAACACCAAGTGTTCAAATATATGAGGTTTTGTGGCACATTTCACAATAAAATCACTATCACAATTACACCTTACATTCTGGTTTGTGACAGCCATAATAAACAAGACAAGTATAAAATGTGTGACTTATTAAATACTGATTAGTACTAAGATAGAGAATGATACAGTGTTGATTACAGACCTTTTAACCGAACAGTGACCTTTTAATACAAATAGGCGGCCTCATTTTAATATAATGCAAAAGAAATAGAATAGAGCAGCAAGTTCAAACTTGCTGAAGTGGGAGGAAGCCTGAATGGTCAAAAGAGGGAGGGCCAAGCCTTGAACAAATGAATGAGTACAAAAGCAAAGATGAAATTAGAAAGAAAACAAGGGGACAGGTTTTGTAAGGAAATTGTGGCTGGTTTCAGAGCTTCAGCTTTGAGCTTGACTAACTAGAGAGCCACTGACAGGCTAGGAATCAGGAGTGGGATAGGAAAAGTGGAGACAAATGGGTAAGAGGCTGGCTTCATACTGCAGCTCTTCCCTGTAACTCTGCAGCAATGTGTCAGTAAATTAAGGAACAGTAAATGTAATACTTTACAGGTAAGTTTATGTTCACTAATTAATATATTGCAACATTGATTAAAACCAATAAGCAATTACCAAATATTATAATTTACTAAAGTAGAATAATGTACCAAGTATCAAGAGACTATATGCTAAATGTGGTAATAAGTCAGTACACAATAGTACAATATTATTTAACAAATGAGTTAGATAAAAACCCACAGCTTATGAATCCTGATTTTCTCCAATATGGCTAAATTACATAAAATTAAAACATGTAAAACATTTTCTCATTATAATTTTGCCCTCTATAACAAAAAGCAATGTTCATAATCCAAGTTCATTGCTAGGAGCAAATAATTCAAACCAAGAAAAACAAACTGAAAGGAGACAAGCCACAAATCAAAACACTTTTTTTTCCAAATGTTCAATCAAGAAAACATACCTTACACTGTGTCCTTGATGCTGCCAAGTCTGAACTCTGGAAAGCGGCCAAAACAGAGATGTTTCCCAAAGCAAGGCCTCAGAAGCTGTGCTGCATTCCAGGCAAACTCAATTCCAGTCACCAAAAATTACACTCTTGGTTGATTTTTCTTACTGTGATTTAAAATGAGAATAGATGGACAAATTAAAATGGATGATTTCCAGTTATCTAATTGACTAAAACAAGATACGTCGAAGGGGCTGGAGAGAGAAGTCAGTTGGTAAGGAGCTTGCTATGCAAACATAAGGACCATGTCAAGTTTCCAGAATGCATGAAAATGCTAGGCAGGATTTCCCACCGGAAATCTCAGTGGTGGGGGAACAGAGAGAGGATATCCCTAAAGCAAGCTGGCTAGCTGGACCAAACAAATCTGGCAACTCTGGGCTCTAGTGCCCAACCCTATCTGGTCATATTATGTGGAAAGAATTGAGAAAGATACCTGTTGTCAGCCCTGGGGCTCCAGATACACCCACACATACATACAACCACAAACATGTGATCACACACACATGAGCAAAAATAATTTTAAACATTGAAATGGAACAAAAAAGGAGAGCATTTGAAGTTTTATATGGTTCTTTTTGTTTTAGTTTTGAATCCTGGTTTTATGTTATCTATTCAACCTAAAACAGATTTAACTTCCCCAGTAAATTTGGAAAATAATGCACCTTCATAAGTCACAGTTCCCTAAAAATGGCTGGGAGAAGGTGCCTGATTGAAAACCATTACAGAAATTTACTTGATCTAATAAATATGCAAAGGTCATCTGAGAAATAGTGGGAGGTATTCTACTATGTTCCAGCAGGGGTTCTTAACCTTCCTAAAACTATGACCCTTTAATACATTTCCTCATGTTGTGGTGACCCCAAAACATAAATTTACTTGTTACTTCATAACAATAATTTGCTATGAATTGCAGTATGAATATCTGATATTCAGATATCTGGTATGAGACCATCATAGGAGTTGAGACCCATCCATAAGTTGAAAACCACTAGAGTCATGCATGAATGTAAAAGACTAATCTCAAATTATTTTTAGTTATTTCAATTTTTATATCATTACATCATAAAATAATAGTACCGAATCATAAATTTTAAACACTTCCTAAACACTTGTTAGCAATAATAGTGGAAAATAACCAAACATATGTAATTTATTTATGTTTTGTTCAATGTATTACATATATATTATGCACAAAACTCTGAACTATTCTCTAGTTTATACAGAAATTACTCTTGTATAGATGAGAATCAAATTTTTATGACTCCAAACTGCTTTCTAATAATACTATCTGAAAACTAAAAGCCATATAGTTGAGAATATTAATTTTTAATTCCAATATTATCAATATAAGTATCCTAAAATTTTTGGTAACACTCTTTTAAATGTGTGTATATATGGGTAGGTAGATGAGTGAGAGTGTGCACACACATGCACACACACACACACACACACACACACACACACACACAAGAAAACATGCAGACAAGCACAGGCTTGTGAGTGAGGGTGTCTGTAAATGCCTGAGGGCACTCCAGATCCTCTGAATCTGGTGCAGTAAGCCACTCAGTGTGGGTGCTAGGAACTGATCTTCAGGACTCTGGAAAGATATCAAGCACTGTTAGTTACTGAGCCATCTATCCAGCCTGGAGGCTTTTTATAAATACAGATAAGAATTTGAGTCAAGAGTCGTAACATGAAAGATTGGCTTTTAAATAAATAGTGCCATTACAGTTTAATGCTTATCTCATACCACAGACTAAAGGTAACAAAAAAAATGAATCACAGCCCAAAATGCAAGGGCTAGTATTATAATAAACTTGAACAAAACATCTGAGATAAACTTCATGATTTTTAGCTACTTAACGGTGTCTTAGGGAATAAAAGCAGAGTAAACAAAAACCTTAACTACAATTAATCTATTATAAGTTTCAAAGAACAAAACAGTACACAGATGACCCATACAATACAAGAAAACACAAATCAGTTATTGGATGAAAGTTTTGTACACAGATTATAAGAAGGATTCTTACCATTTAGCAATTAAAAATTACTAATCAAATTTTTCAATGATCAAGTACTTAAGATGATATTTTTCCAAAGTGTTGTAAATGTACCACAAGCACATAAGAAGATGTTCAGCATCACTGTTTTTTATAGGAATTCAGAACAATGACACCACTTTCACCTCTGCACTGGTGACTACCAAAAGCAAAACATTGGCCGTGGATGGAGAGGAGAGAGCCGACGTGTTCTAGTCAGGAAAGGAAGAGTGGACTCATGCATTAGAGAGCAGTCAGCCACAGCTCTCAGAAACCCAAAGGAGAGTCACATATGAGCAAGACTTCTGCCTCTGTGTGCCCACCAAGAGAAGTGAAAGCCGCTCATCTTCAGAACAGAATTATGTTAACAGCTGCAAAGAGAAACCAACCCACAGTGCAGGGGCTGAAGAGTCAAGACATGGCCACATTACGAGATACTAGTCAGAAAAAGGAATCAGGAGTTGATTTGTGTTACAACATGGATGATCTTAGAAAGCAAACTAAGTAAAACACAACAGGCAGAAGAGCTTACTAACTGTCAGTGCTACTGTTCAATTTACATGAAATATTCAGACTAGGAAAGCCAATAGTGCGATTCAAAAGACTGAGGGTTGCTTAGTGTAGAGGCAGAAGAGATAATGTGTGCTTTCCAATGGAGAAAAGATTTCTTGCTGAAATAGAAAAATATTTCAAAATCAGTGTCAATGGTTGCCCAATTCTGTAAACATTCTAAACCTGCTCATATGTACCATTTTAAAAATGGCAAATCTTATGCTTAAATAATATTTCTCAATATGGAGTTTTAAGTAGTGTCAAAAATAATCCATTCTGTTGTCCTTATCTAAAAACTTGGGGACCACATGTGTATCAGAAGATTTTACATTATGTAAAGGTAACATGCCCTCATAATTGTGTATATAAACACCTGGAGAGAAGCAAGGATGAACATTGGAAAAATCTCATGCCGAATAACAGTTCATCCCTGAATATCACTTCAATCACAATTTATACAAAGCTCCAGAAATGGTAATTTAATGAGACTATTGAATTTTCAAAATGCAAATAACAGGTACTGGCCACTTATAAATGATGATGAAATTAGTGATAATATTGAGCAGTTGGCATTTGTAAACTGGCAGTTAGCATGGAAAGTACTGTGATTACATCATCAGCTGTACATTCAGAACTTGTCTTCATGTCCCTCTGGAATGAGTACAATTAGCTGCAACTGATAAAATGGTCCCTTAGGGACTCGGCAAGTGACCCACTTGAGCACGCTACCTTGACAGGGAAAGGTGCTGAAAGCTGCATTGAAATCTATCCACAGACTTCATTCCTTACAGAGAACAGTGGACTGACAATTCATCAGTAAAGAGAAGAGTAAGAACTCTTTATAAGATGAAAAATAATTGCCAAGGTATATACTAATAAGATAATATTATCCAAAAGATGATCCCATTATCAGCGGAACCAGTGTTAAAAGTGGAGCATAGGTAGTTTATAGATTGCATTATGCACATCTAAACTATAAAATTTAATACCTTGCAAGATTTCGGCATCTTTGTCAAAAATCAGGTGTTCATAGGTGTGTGACTTAATATCAGTATCTTCAATTTTATTCCATTGATCCCCATGTCTATTTTTATGCTAATACCAAGATGTTTTTATTACTGTAGATCTATAGTATAGCTTGAAATCAGGGATGCTGATACCTCAGGAAGTTCCTTTATTGTACAGGACTGTTTTGACTATCCTGAATTTTTTGTTTTTCCATATGAAATCGAGTATTGTTCTTTCGAGGTCCATGAATCAACAAATGGGGCTGGCATAACTGAATGTCCCCATGTAGAAGAATACAAATAGACCCATAGTCCAAGTGGATCTAGGACCTCAAAATGAACCCAGTTACACTGAACCTAATAGAAAAAAGTGGGAGGTAGCCTTGAATGCATGGGCACAGGAGACCACTTCCTAAATAGAACACCAATAGCACAGACACTGACAGCAACAATTAATAAATGGGACCTCCTGAAACTAAGAAGCTTCTGTGAGACAAAGGACATGGTCAACAAAACAAAACAGCAGCCTACAGAATGGGAGATCTTCACCACCCAACATCGGAAAGAGAGCTGAACTTCAACATACACAAAGAACTCAAGAAATTAGACATCAAAATACAAAATAACCTAACTGAAAAATGGGATACAGATCTAAACAGAAGAAACTCAAATGGCCAAAAAAACATTTATGGAAATGTTCAACATCTTTAGCCACCAAGAAAATGTAAATCAAAATGACTCTGAGATATTATCTTGCACCTGTCAAAATGGTTAAGATTAAAAAAAAGAAAACACTGATGACAGCCTATGTTGGAGATGATATGGTGTAAGGGGAAATCTCTTCCACTGCTAGTGGTAGATCAAACTATTACACCCACTTTGGAAATAAGTATAGAGGTGTCTCAGAAAATTGGGAATCAATCAACCTCAAGACACAGCAATACCACTCTTGGGCATATACCCAAAGGATGCACAATCATACCACAAGGACATTTCCCCAACTATATTCATAGCTGCCTTATTTATAATAGCAAGAACTTGGAAACAACCTAGATGCCCCTCAACTGAAGAATGGATAAAGAAAATGTGGTACATCTACACAATGGAATATTACTCAGTGACATCTTGAAATTTGCAGACAAATGGATGAAACTAGCAAACAAACAAACAAACAAATAAAAATATCCTGAGGTAGCCCAGACCTAGAAAGACAAACATGGTATGGAGTGAATATCAGATGTAAAGCATACAATCCTCTATCACAGAGAAGCTAGTAAAAAAAAGGGCACCCAAAAAGTGCCATACATAGAGGGCCCCAGGAAAGGAAAATAGTTAAGATCTCCTGGGTAAACTGGGAGGCAGGGTAGAAGGGAGCTAATGGGGGATGGGAATCTGAGAGGGGGAACCAGTAAAAGAGATATCTAGATAGAGGGAGCCATTATGGACTTAGGGAGAAACCTGGTGCTAGAGAAATTCTTAGGAATCTATAGGGATGATTCAGCTAAGACT